GGCCTCATGAACATGAGCTGCTCATTGGCTGCTCTCATCTGTGATCCCCAGGTTCTACGACATAACCAGGGGTATCCGGAACCCCAACGTCCTCATCCCTCCTTCCTTCTGCAACCACAAAGACGAGGAGGCAGGGAGCCCCGAAATCTGATCTCCGTCTCCCCCAGGAGCAGGGTGTGGAGCTGACACACACGCTTCTGTAGTCTGGTCTTCTAAAAATGGAGTGCAGATCTCTTGGGGTGCTAATCTCAGGGGCTCACCCCCCCCCCCTTCTCCTTACTCTGGTGTCAGTGGTGCCTCGGTCTCGGTGGGGTTTTAACATGAATCCTAAACTCTGTAGTCTTTCTTGTTTCACGGCAAAATAAGCTGAAAACTCATAATTACACCCGGGGGCACAGAGAGAGACAGTGTGAGACCGGGGAGACCAGGAGGACAGCTGGGCCGGCGGTTCAGGTCCAGTCTTGTTAGACCGGGAGGACAGCTGGTCCAGGGGTTCAGGTCCAGTCTTGTTGGACCGGGAGGACAGCTGGGCCGGTGGTTCAGGTCCAGTCTTGTTGGACCGGGAGGACAGCTGGTCCAGGGGTTCAGGTCCAGTCTTGTTGGACCGGGAGGACAGCTGGGCCGGTGGTTCAGGTCCAGTCTTGTTAGACCGGGAGGACAGCTGGGCCGGCGGTTCAGGTCCGGTCTTGTTGGACCGGGAGGACAGCTGGGCCGGCGGTTCAGGTCCAGTCTTGTTGGACCGGGAGGACAGCTGGGCCGGCGGTTCAGGTCCGGTCTTGTTAGACACAGAGGTGGCCAGCTGGAGCCCCAGCTCTGTCACTGACTCCCTGTGGTTGAACCCCCAGAGTCAGGCTGCAGGTGTAGCGTAGTGACTCAAACCCTCCCCGCAGTGAGACTCCGGGTGCTGGTGTCTGATGAACTGATCATCAGAGAAACAGACGGTGCTGGAAATTCACTCTCTCTCACTCTTTCACTCTCTGTACCCTGCAACTCCACAAGCAGCAAATTAAACACTCGGAAAGTACAACCGACTCTGTGTCTTCTTGTCAACTCTGTGTGTCCAGAAACCACTGAAAGACAGAGGGACAGTAGACCCAGGTCTCCCCAAATGTAGATCAGGTCCCAGACTGCTGTCGCCCCAGTCCCTGAAGGACACTCCTGGACAGAGACGGGGGAGCTCAGCTAGTTTGTGTGACAAGATGGCCCCCATCTCTCCCTCCAGTGCCAGACAGCTCATCATTCCTGACCAGGGAAGAAACAACCTTTCGGACCCGTCCAGTCC